TGTGTGTGTGTGTGTGTGTGTGTGTGTTTTGTTTACGAAACCCCAGATTCTCTCTCTCATTCCCTTCACAAATCATCAAAGCCTATTATAAAGAAAAAGTATAGATAAGCAATATAATAGAAAATGCAAGGTTGGCCACGCTTGTGCGGTTCAGCCCCGAGTTCCCACACACCCGTCTGCCGCCGAAGTGGCACACTTGCACATATACATATGTATACATATACATATATATTTCAAACCATAAGGGGATGGAGGGCAGAAGGCAACTTACCTAAGACGGAAGGCTAATCCAGCAAGAAGGCACCGACCCGCACCCCTCAAAGGTCCAAAAAAACTTGGAGAGCCTTCTGCATCGGCCCACAAAACCAAAAACTCATATACCAAAAACAAACAAATATAACAGCACTGGCATTCCCGACATTCATCTCAAACGCGTCACTGCCAAAGAAGAGGAAGAAGATAAGAGACAACTTACCTAAGACAAGACTCCTCCAGCAAGAACGCACCGACCCCCCCTGCTAAGGGTCCAAAAAAACTGGGAAAGCCTTCCACGCTGGCCCACAAAACATACATTCCCCCCAAAGAGAACTCGTGGTTACCCGTAAACATCCAAACAGCCCATGCTCTAAAGCAGGGCAAAGAATTAGGCTGTGTATAATCAACAAAACCAACAAGACAGATCCGACCACAAAAAGAGAGAATAGCTCGCTAGTACGAGCCTGATCCTAGCCGCTCAAATCTGCTGAGACAGAGAGCTAGCAAGACCGGAATGTGTGTGTGTGTGTGTGTGTGTGTGTGTGTGTGTGTGTGTGTGTGTGTGTGTGTGTGTGTGTGTGTTTCAAAAAAACACAAACTCTCTCTCTCATTCCATCCACAAATTGTCACAAATCATCCATAAAACAAAAAAATTGTAGATAGGCAAAATAGTAGAAGACGGAAGTGTGTGTGTGTGTTGTAGATTATCACCACAACAGCCCTTGCTCCACCCAGATGAGTACATCCAAAATCCAAGCAGCTTTACCTCTATTGCAAACAATGAAGCACACTTGAGATGAGCCAGTCCAACAATGGAACAGTTTTAGCTATAGTCTATAGCAAGCAACATGGAGCACAATAGATCCGTTCTATCCCTTTCTTGACTATCTTTACTTCGGCTTTCTTTGGGATACCCCTTTTATTTGTTCTTGCAGCTCCCCTTTTACTGTGCCTCTCAAGTACAACCCTGGCCACATTGATCATGATTGTCGTTTAGCGCCAGCTGCCCACATCCCGTGTGGCTTAATGGCCCACTTGCGCGTTATGAGAGGAGTAAAGGGGGAGGCAACGTCCTGTTCATGTTTGCTGAGGCAACGTCCTGTTCATGTTTGCTCAGATCTTGAGCTTATAATTTGTCTGTTCTCGTAATGATGCTCATTCGTATGCATTTCCTAGTAGTACAAAAGAGGAGGGAGGGAGGAAGGAAAGAGGTAGGGGGTGGAGTTCTATAAAAACTGAGGAACGGGGAAGAGAGAAGGGGAAGAGGAGGAAAACAGGGGAAGAGGAGGAAGAAAGGGGAGAGGAGGGAAGTGAACGGGGAAAGAACAGAGGTGAGGAAAGGTAAACTTCACAGAAACTGCACAGAGTTTTCAATACTCACCGCTGGAGCAGACTACGCTAGAATGGCACAAGAGGCCAGTCAGTGTTTGGGTTGCAGGGAATTTCGAGTCGAGGACCAGTCATTGCCGATGGTAAGTGGCCACTACTACAGACCAGACACGACCAGTTCGGGCGTGGACCGCGGAAGCACCGCATCCAATTCTCCCAGTTGCAGTTGCAGCATCAGTTTCTGTTTTCATACGTATGATGAAAGCCAAAATTGCACTCATGTACGTCGGCGCACTGACATGTCATGTCCGATGTGGAGACAGGTGCAGGAACAGCAATGCCTATACAATCGTGGGGTGCCTCTGTGTTCCTACCATGTCGCGGGGTTTGTTCAAGACCCCTGAGGATGGCCGGCTCAGCCACCGGCCGAAACACGGCATTGGATCATGCCGTTTCCCACGGACGATTGTTCCAACTCTTTTCTTCTGGTTCACGTGTCGATTCCCTGCTCTACGCGACATTCTTCGTTGAATTCTTTTTCGCACAGTAAACCTGCGCTCGGATTTTCATGCAGTAGAGGAAAACTGCAGAAGAGGAAGACTGTGCCAGAGGACGGCTGCAGCCGAGGAAGGCTGTATCAGAGGACGACTGCACCAGAGGTTGAGGGTTCAAATCCCCTTTTCAGTAATTTCACCGTATAACCTGCAGCAGAGGAAGAACATAGCACAGGAAGACTGTGGCAGAGGAAGACTGCAGCAGAGGTGAGAACTGCAGCGGAGGAAGGCTGCAGCAGAGGAAGACTGCAGCAGGGGAAGGCTGCACCAGCGGTTGAGGGTTCAAATTCTTTGTTCACCTCATATAGACTGCAGCAGAGGAAGACCGCAACAAAGGCTATCATCCAGACTTTCAACATACATACATACATACATAGAATTTCTGACAACGAAGCATTCAGCATCCATAGACACTCACACCCAACGCCATGCACGTGACTGAGTATCCACACTTAGTCTGAGGCACACACGACACTTGGACAAAGCAGCGATGGAGAAGAAGTGAGTCCATCGCCATTCAAAGATTACAACAGTGCTGGCACACCACGTGCACAACCACCAACCCAACCAAACGCCAGCCAACCATAGCCACAAGCCCATGCCACTGGCTACGTTCCCGTCTCCACCACCGCTCAGTCCCTCCGACTGCCTTACCCTTTAGTCAAAGGAAGGCTGCAGCAGAGGAAGACCACAGCACAGGAAGACTGTGGTGGAGGTAGACTGCGGCAGAGGAGAGAAATGCAGCAGAGGAGGACTGGAGCAGACGAAGGCTGCACCGGAGGTCGAGGGTTAAGATCCCTTTTTCACCTCATATAGACTGCAGCAGAGGAAGACCGCAGCAGACGAGGACTGGCAGAGGAAGGCTGTAGCAGAGGACTACTGCACCAGAGGTTGAGGGTTCAAATCCCTTTTTAACGTCATATAGACTGCAGCAGAGGAAGGGTGTGGCAGAGGAAGGCTGCAGCAGAGGAAGCGTGTGGTAAAGGGGAGGGGGGCGGGGGACACACAAATATGGCCAGCACATGAGCAAGAAGGGGGGAAAATGAGGTTTCCACGGGGCAAAGGAAGAGAAACGTGGATGATGGCCTCAGGTATATAACCAGCACATAGGGCAGGAGGGGCAAGATGTTGACGAATTGGACAAACAGAGATGACGTACAGTGTAGGGTTTTCCAAGCCCTACACCCCCATATTTTTTTATTTTTTTTTTACGTATTTTTCGGTGGGGGAACAAAATATTGAAAAACCAGGCCGCGGACTGGGCCTCATCGGCCGCGGCCGCGGCTGAGAATCTCGGCCGCAGCGGCCGAAATGCCTGCGGCCTAGGCCGCGGGTGTCACATAGGTACCATCAAACGCCACCAACCTGGTGATCGAGCTCGTTGTCATTCTCACTAAGCATAGAGATCCCTCCTCGCAACGCCACGCTAAGATCGACAACAGCATGTGTGCGGAGGGGCAAGGCCATCAAGGGAGTGCGCACTACGTTAAAGGTCCAAGCGTTGCATCGTCGGCACTCTGAAAAATCTAGCACACGTCGAACGCCAACCAACCTGGTGATAGAGCTCGAAAAAAAACAAAAAAATAAAAGAGAGAGAGAGAGAGAGAGAGAGAGAGAGAGAGAGAGAGAGAGAGAGAGAGAGAGAGAGAGAGAGNAGAGAGAGAGAGAGAGAGAGAGAGAGAGAGAGAGAGAGAGAGAGAGAGAGAGAGAGCTCTCTGCAACGCTGCAGTGAGATGCGATGAGAAAGTGACCGTTGCACTACCATCTTCAATCGAACAGAGTGCCTTGTCATTATAGCTGCATCTAGACTGAAAGTTGCCCCAAATGCAGTTGCAACGACCAGCCGTTCCCAGGTGAAGACGATATAGTCAATGGTCTGTGAGGCAGCCGTTCATGCATGGCATGCACTCTTATAGAGCCGAGAGATTGCTCTACGCTTCAACTCTGATAGTGCTCCGAAGGGTGGGAGAGGTTTATGAGCTCGAAGAATGTAGCGGAGGTAAGGCAGTGTAATCAATAAATATGGACACAATTGCAGTCAGATTCATCCAGGTCTGGTCGTAATTACGGATTCCAACAGGGCAAAAAAAACAAAAGAAGAAGAAGAAGAAGAGGTAAGGCAATGTAATCAATAAATATGGACGTAATTGTAGTCAGATTCATCCCTGT